TGGTATAAATATACATCAGTGATTACTTTTAACTTGTTTTTCAAGTGAAATTTTTCATATCTAGTAATAGGACTTAAAAAACTATTATGTACCGCAAAATGCCATGCACCGTGCTTATGACTAGACATACCAAAATGCTTTCTTCCTTGCTTGTCTTTGCCAAGTTTGGCTTGCAAAAACATTTATACATAGAACAGATGGTATAATAGAGGGCAAATCAGCTATTCATAATTAAGAAGGGATACACATACTAAGCATCTGGATCTTAGGGATAGGGTATTAGGGATAGAGTGTCAGGGAGGGTTACCTGGAGTATACTTGGGAGAGAGTTGGAGTAGCCAGCCAAAGATCGGGAAATATTTATTGCAATAACATGTGGATTTTTTTTTAAGTGTGTCTTTAGTGTAGGAGACTGGCAGAGTTGGAGGGGAAAATATGGGCCAGATCATAAAGGCCTTTTAGTCTTGAAAACTCCAGAGCTGTAGAAGGGAAATAACTAGAAAATGATGCCACCGGCTTTGCATTTATTTATTTATCAACTCAATTTTTTTAATTGAAGTGTAGTTGACACGTAATGTTAGTTTCAGGTGTACACGTAGTGATTCAACCTTTATATATATAGTGAAGTGATCACCATAATAAACCTGTCTACCATTTGTCACCATAAAAGATTATTACATATTAGTATATTCCCTATGCAGTACATTGTATCCCTATGTCACATTTATTTTAACTTGAAGTTTGTACCTCTTATTTTCTACTTAGTTTGTACCCTTCCCCTATTTTCCCCATCCCTTCACTCTCCTTCTCTCTGGCAACCACCATATTATTCACTGTATCTAGGGGTCAGTATCTATTTTTTTTCCTTAGTTCCACATTTAAGTGAAATCATATGATATTTGTCTTTCTCTGACATATTTCACTTAGTATAATACCATCTCTGTCCACCCATGTTGTCACAAATGGCAAGATTTTATTCTTTTTTTATGGCTAAGTAATGTTTCATTCAAATATATAAACATATACATATAAACATATATATGTATACACATGTACTGTCAATTTCTTCCTTTATGTCTTAATATTTGCTTTATATAGTTAGGCATCCATATGTGGGTGTGCAGATATTTACATGTGTTCTACCCTCTTGTTGGGTTGATCCCTTTAACGTTATGTAATGTTTTTTTTTTGTCCCTTGTTACATTTTTTTGTTTTAAAGTCTGTTTTATCTAATATAAAGTGTTGCTACACCAACTTTCTTTTTATTTCCATTTGCATGGAATATCATTTTCCATTCCTTCACTTTCAGTCTGTGTGTGTCTCTAGATCTGAAGTGGGTCTCTTATAGACAGCGCACATACATACATACATACATATATATGTCTTTTTAATAATCCATTCACCCCATACTTTCTCTTTTGATTGCAACATTTAGTTCTTATTGTAGTTATTTATAGATATGTACCTATTGCCATTTTGTTCATTGTTTTCTGTTGTTGTAGTTTTTCTGTTCCTTTCTTCTGCTCTCTTCCCTTAGGATTTGGTGACATTGGGTCCCTGGTGTCGTTTGTATTCCTTTTTCTTCATTTTGTGTGTGTGTGTGCGCGCGCGCGCAGCTTTTATAGATAATTGGTTTTTGGTTTCCATGAGGTTCATATGTAATATCCTTAGTGTATAGTAGTTTGCTTTAAGTTAATGGTTACGCTCAAGCATGTTCTAAAAGCACTACATTTTAACTGCCTACCCCCTACCACATTTTCTGTTTTTGATAATCACATTTTACACATTATTATCTTAGTAGTCCTAGATGATTTTACTACTTTTGTCTTTTAAATCTACATTCTAGCTATGTCGGTAGCCAGATCCACTTCCTTTACTATATATATTTACCATTACCAGTGAGATATTTTTTTCTTTCATAGTTTTTAATTTCAGTTATGGCCTTTTCTTTTTTATTTAAAGACATCCTTTTAACATTTCTTGTAGCTGGTTTGATGAACTCCTTTAGTTTTTGCTTATCTGAGAAACTTCTTATCTCTCCTTTACTATTGCTGGGTGTGGAGTATTCCTGGTTGTATTTTTTTTTTCCCATTCAGCACTTTGAATATATCATGTTACTCCCTTCTGTAAAATTTCTGTTATAAAATCAGCTGATAGTCATAAGGGGGTTTCCTTGTATGTAAGTAGTTGTTTTTCTCTTGCTACTTTTAAGAGTCTCGATTTAATTCTTTACACTAGTTATAATACGTCTTGGTGTGGGTCTGTTTGGGCTCATGTTATTTGGACTCTGTTCCTGGACATGGATGTCTGTTTCCTTAACCAGGTTAGGGAAGTATTCAAGCATTATTTCTTCAAATAGGTTTTCTGTCTTTTTTTCTCTTTGTTCTCCTTCTGGGACCCCTATAATGCAAGTATTTGAATACTTGACGTTGTCCCATTGGTCCCTTAAACTATGCTCACTTTTTAAATTACCTTTTCTTTTTGCTGTTCTGATTGGGTGATTTTCATTCCTCAGTCTTCCATTCCTCTGCAGTGATCCATTCTCCTGCATCTTTTAATCTGCTGTTGATTCCTAACTTCCTTCCAGTTATTGTATTCTTCAGCCCTGATTATTTTTTATGTTTTCTACCTCTTCATTGAAGTTCTACCTGTGTTCATTTATTTCTCCTTTGATTTTAGTAAATATCTTTATGATCCTTACTTTGAGTCCATCTGGTCTAGCGTCATTCAAAGCCATTGGTTCCTTGTTTATTTTCTGTTCAGATTATCTATTGATTAAGCGGGATGTTAAAAGTCCCCTACTATTATGGTGTTATTATCAATTAGTTCCTTTTTGTTTGTTATTAATTATTTTATATATTTGGGTGCTCCCATGTTGTGGGCATAAATATTTATAATTGTTGGATCTTCTTGTTGGATTGTCCCCTTTATTATGATATAGTATCCTTCTTTATCTGTTCTTACAGCCTTTTGTTTTAAAGTTTGGTTGTCAGATAGAAGTATTGCCACTCTAGCTTTCTTTTGATGTACATCTGTGTGATAAATGTTTCTCCATCCTCTCTCTTTCTTTTCTTTTTTTCTTTTTTTTTTTTTTTTTTTGGTATGATTTTATCTATTTATTTAACAGAGAGCACACAAGAGGGAGGAACAGGCTCCCCACTGAGCAGGGAGCCTGATGTGGGGCTCGATCCCAGGCAGACGTTTAACTGAGCGACACAGGTGCTCCCATCCCCTCACTTTCAGTCTGTAGGTGTCTTTAAGTCTAAAATGAGCCTCTTGTAGACAGCATAATGATGGGTCTTGTTTTTTTATTCACTGTGACACCCTATGTCTTTGGATTAGAGCATTTAGTCCATTTACATTTAAAGTAATTATTGATAGATATGTATTTATTGCCATTTTATTATGTGTTGTTTCTGGAGATTTTCTCAGATCCTTTATTGTCTTTGTCACTTTTGGTCTTTCCTTTCCACTCAAAGAATCCCCTTTAGTATTTCTTGCAAAGCTGATTTAATGGTATGACCATTACTTTGAACTCTTTATTGGATAGATTGCTTATCTCTGTTTTGTTTAGTTTTTCTGAGATTTTGTTTTGTTCTTTCATTAGGAACATATTCCTCTGTCTTCTTATTTTGCCTAATTCTCTGTTTCTGTGTATTAGGTAGATCAGTTACATTTCTCAGTCTTGAGATTAGTTTTGCATATTAGATCATTCTGGCAGCCCTGAGGATTGGAGATTAGAGAGGTGGAGAAGTGGGAAAGCAAGTTTATTAGGAGGCATTTTAGCGACCTTAAGGAGCAGTGTGAAGACCTGAAATCAAACAATGTCAGAATGAAGAGGAAGCAGAGTAAATATATTCAGGAACAAGAATCAACAGAATTCATGTGGCAGTGATGGGGTTGGGGGGGGCGGGAGCCAATTTAAAATTAATTAATCCTGGGGTGCCTGGGTGTCTCAGGGTTATGAGATTGAGCCCTGTGTTAGACATGCTGGTTGTGGAGCCTGCTTAAAATTCTCTCCCTCCCCCCACAACTTGCATGTGTGTGTGCACACTCTCTGTCTCTTAAAAAAAAGAAAAAAATCCTAGATTTCTGGTGGGATAAGTGGAGAATTTCAGTACCACTTTGGTAGGAGAAAGAGAAAGTTTTGAGATAACTGTGGCACATTAACATGAGGGTGTCCAAAAATTAATATTAATTAGTATTATGGTTTACTACTTAGTTATTAATATTACATTCACTGAGTGTTGAGGTGTATACTATTATTACCCTCATTTTGCCACTGATGAAACTGAGGCCCAAAGAAGGTTGATAACTTGTCCCAGATCACAAAGGAAGCAAGTGCAGAGTGAAAATTTGAATTTGAGAGGTGATTACATTTTCCAGTCTCTTGGCTGCTTTATGCTCTTGCTTTTCAGTCACATGGAGATCTGATCTGTGAGATAAAGTTACAACCTGGAGATAGGGATTTGATGAAACCACTGGCCTGGATGAATGACAGGTCTTTGCACAGTCCTTGGAGTTCATGCAAGTGCACTGAGGTTCAAAAAGAGGAAGTGAGCTTGTGTAGAAATTGACCAGAAAGACAGGAGGAAAAACCAGAAAGAATTGCATTACAAAAGCCAAAATGTATTTTTTTTCTTAAGAAATGAAATCATCAACAGTTTTAAAAATCTTGAAAAATGTAGCCACAAAATCCAGTCACCCATGATGTTGGCCAGAGTAGTTTCAGTTCAGTTATTCAGAAACAAAATAAAAGGGGTCAGGAAATGAAGGGAGGTGAGACCATGAATTCAGAGAACTTCTGTACTTCCTGGAGAGATGTAACTGCACAGGCAAAAGAGAGATGGAATGGAAGCTAGTGGTAGACAGAGGGGTTTTCTTCTCATGGATGAGACAAGATCACTTTTGTATGGATTTAAGGATAATCTGTCTAGAAGTAAGAATTAAAAAAAAAACAACATCCAAATTATAATTTGAAATACTTTTAAACTTTACAGAACATTATACATCCATGGGCATACCAAGTTGGATTTCACAGTCTGGCATACCGCAATTGAGAAAGCAGCAGGTACAGATGGTAATGCATTACAGGATCAGCAGCTCAGCAAAAATGATGTTCCCATTATTGTGAACAGCTGTATAGCATTTGTTACACAGTATGGTAAGTATCACAGAGTTTTTATTCAACCCCCAGAACTCATACTATCATTCTTAGAGTTTTTAAGTGGTACCTCCATTGGACTGCATTAGAGCTCTTTATATTTGTAAGTACATCCGTGAAAAATAAAAACGTAGTCCCTGTTCGGCCAAATGCCATTCCTTCTCCCAATAAAATTCAGATTACGTAATGTACTTTTACTGTTTTCTTCTTTCACATGCATAAAAATTTTAAATGCCAGATTGAAAGAATCTATGTTATAAAATGTATATTAGAAATAGGTTGAAGACTGTATTTTTAAGAGGTTACAAGCCTACAGTAAAGTCTAGGAAAAGGCAAAGGGTTGCCCCATAAGCATGTTTTTGGAAGTGGAAAACTATGGGACAGTATGCAGAGGAATTTATTTTTTTGGTGCCATACATTCAAAGTCTGTGTGTTCATTTATTTCATTCAGCATGCTCTCGTTCACATGTTTACATTAAGAATCATGGTTATCGTAATAGTTTTGACTTAATTTTAACGGGCATTTTTATGAATAGCTTGCAAGTAAAAAACAACTGGTTGACACATACATGGTCTAGCTTCATTTTAATTTAATATGCTATGATAGTATTTTAGATGTCCCTGAAAAGTAAATAAAGTATGCCTTGATTTTTCATGTTTATTTTCAAATTACTTTGAATTCCTCAAATTCCTTCTTTCTGCTACGTATTTCCTTAATACTCTAAAAGGTAGAAATTAGTTAACTATATTTTTAATATAAAAATGTTTTCTACCTGTTAATCTGTAGATAAGTGCCATTGATTTAGATTACAAATGTGGAAAAGTAAAATGATTGATCTTATGTTTTGAAAGGCAATTAACTTTTATTTTTGTTCTCTCAATATTAGAAGTGTCCTTGGGTGTTTTTATTTGAAAAGAAGGTGTAATCAGTGAGAGAGCTGCTGTAAAACATTGTGTTATTAGTTCGTTACTTATTTATTGTCTCTTGTGTGCCAGCCATTGATCTTGGTACTGGAAATACAGCAATGGGAGTAAGAAGCTAAAGACAAAGCCATGAATCATGGGTTTCAGTATGAGAACTGACAATAAACTGATATGAGCAAAATGTCAAAAATAACAAAGGCCATGAAGAAAATAATTTTTAGAAATTAAATTTATAACATGCATACATTAATCTATTTTCTTCTGGGGAGAGTGCCATTTTATGTATTTTGTTTATTTCACACATGTAATCCAAGTACAGTTATCATTGATATTCAGATTCACTGTGTTTGAATTATATAGGTTTGAATTATATATCTACTGTAAATATGTATGTAATCACATTATGTGTCTATTACTCTATGAAATTCCTTCCTATGATAGTATGTCTGTGTTTTCCTTATCAATGGTAATCATCTGTTTATATGAAAATGGGGGAGGAGGAAGGTTATGGTCTTCATTTATTAGCCATTCCTTATTAGTGCACTTGAATTTCGTAGGTATAAATGAATTACACACATATTATGTTTTAGCAAGAGCATAACCTCATTGGGAATTTTCACATCATGTTAGTTTCATAATGGCATAGGGTCTTTCTTAAGCTGAAAAATGATTGAAATAACTCTTCTAGCTCCAGTGTATCTAATTTAATGTTTCTCTAGGGAAATCAGAAGTTTCTTTGTGGTGTTTCTTTGAATTTAAAATCATTAAGCATTAGATTGTTTTCAACCAAATTTCATACATTAAAACTACTTTGTAACTCTGGCACAAGGTACATTAACTTGCATATTAAAGTAATAAAGCCAATGAAAGACTCTTTATGTTTTGTTTTGTTTGGTTTTTAATGAACAGAACATGGGGAAAATCCAATGTTGCCAGCATGTATAGAAGGGAAGATATCATATGCGCTTAGAAAATGCCCAGTGATTAATAGAATGCAGGTGGTTGACTCAGAGCTTACAACAGCAATTATTTTGAACTTCCTGACCTTTGTATTAAAATCTGAAAGCCAGGGGTGCTTGGGTGGCTCAGTCGGTTAAACAGCTGCCTTGGGCTCAGGTCATGATCCCAGGTTCCTGGGATTGAGCCCCGCATCAGGCTCCCCGCTCTGTGGAGAGCCTGCTTCTCCTTCTCCCCTGCTTGTGCTCTCTAGCTCTCTCTCTCAAATAAGTAAAATCTGAAGACCAATTTTTTGTGTTCACAGTGTCAAGATTTGAACTTGACCAAGTTCACAGTCAAATTTTTAGAGTTTTAATTTTTTTAATGGGTTATAGTAGTTTTTGGGGGAAATTTATGTAAACAAAATTTTTAAATTCACATGCAGTTAACTTATTTGAGGATAAGCTATTAGAAATTCACTCAACTAGGAACATAATATCTCAAAAACTTAGTCCCAATTTTTTTGTTTTTGTAGAATTTGCTTATTCTTGCATTAATCATTTATTGAATGCTTACTCAGTTCTAGTCATAGTGTAGTTAACTGTACACAGAGAGCAAGACATGATCCTTGCCTTCTAGGTTTTTACACATTTTTTGAATCAAAGACAAACAGCTGGGCAGTTACATCTCAAGTGTACAAAATTCTGTGGTAGAGAGGTTCAGGGGTTGGTACAGGGTGAATTTCACCCAGAGTAGGGTTGGTCGTAGGGAGCTTCATGGGTGAGATGTGGTGCCTACCATGATTAAGAGAAAACAGGAGCTAGTTAGAAGAAGGGAGTAGGGACTCTAGGAGGAGGAACAGCGTGCGACCATGGGGAAGTCATCTGTTGAGGGAACTTTGTGTAGTTAAATGTGGCCAGAGCTTAGCGTTGGAAGAACCAGAGATAAGAGGCAGGAGGGTTAGGCTTATTCACGTAGAGCCTTAAATGTTGTAATATATACACAAACTTGCCCTCTAGGCAGTGGGAAGGTGGTATGCAGTTTTTTAAGCCTGTTGGTAACACCAGCAGACCTGTATCTCGGATCAGGCAGTTATCAGTGTGGAGGCGGACTGGAGAGCTGCCCAAGAATAGCGGCAGGGTGTTGTGAAAATGTAGTGAGGAATCGAGTGCAAAAAATAACAGTACGTGAGATGGAAAAAGGGGGACAGTTTTGAGAGCAAGGTTATGATGAAAAATATATGTGACATTTGTTTTGTTTCATTTTAATACTGTAAACGAGAAAGAAAAGTTCTGACTTACAGAGAACTGGGGAGAAGGCACTGCCATGTATTGAGATACAGGAACAAGATAAAGAACGTACTGGGATTGGTAGGTGACATAGCAAATGGGGCGGGAGACTTGATTCCTCAGATTTTTTTGATTTGTCCATGACAATCGTTGTGTGTGTGTTACAGGTATTTTATAAAGAATCTGTATATTAAAGGGTGTGTGTGTGTGTGTGTGTTTGACATCTTAGAAATGAAAACCTGGGTGAAAATGTGTACGTAGTAGTTGAAGTGATAAAGTTGGATGGGTTCACCCAGAGAATTTTGTGGGGGAGTTGGGAAGAGACGAGACTTGAGGATGGAATTCTGGAATGATTAGTAAATACCAGGTGGTTGTATAACTAGAGGACTGGAAGAGTCATCATAGAGGAAGGGGGGAGGAAGCTATGGGATCATAATGTCACGAAAGCCATGAAGTTAAAAGAATTTTAGCAGGGATTCATTTGGAATGTCAAATACTGCAGGGGATTCTCAGTGGATAAAAATGGAAAAGCCTATAGAAAATAGGATGTCATTGGAATTCTTGCTGAAGAATGGTCCCAGTAGAGTGGGGATTGGGTACAGAAGCAAGATTGTGGTTCAAGGATGGACAGAAGGTGAGGTGGTAGGAGAGTAAGTACAGGAAATTCAGCGGGGTTTTGGAAGGAGGACACCCCAGAGCCCTGGGAGGGGGGCAAGGGAGCGTTTAATGTTTTTTGTCTCATCATCATTACACTCACTCCTCTTTACTCTTCTTCCTCTTACTAACCATGCCTCCCCCCTTTGTTTATATAGGGCACCTAATGAATCAATAACTTTGAAAAGGAGATGACCCTTGGGGCGCCTGGGTGGCTCAGTTGGTTACGTGTCCGACTCTTGATTTCAGCTCAGGTCATGATCTCAGGGTCGGGAGATGGAGCCTCATGTTGGGCTCTGAGTATGGAGCCTGCTTGAGATTCTCTTCCTCTCCCTCTGCCCCTCTCCCCCCGCAAAAAAACAAAACAAAATGAACAAAGAAAAGGAGATGACCCAACTATGTCATCTAGAAGAAGGTGAAAATGTGAAACAGAAATTAATATACGAGTACAGACGGTTAAGAAATATACCAGAGAGCCTCTTTACCGGCGAAACTGGAGACAAGCTTGAATTCTGGGAGACAAAGTGAAGATAGGGTACCTGTGGTAAAAGAACACTTGCAGATACCATGAAAAACTGGGGGAAGGGCTGACCAGGGGTTTGCTAACAGCTGAGGCCGAAATAGCTCATCAGGTTTACATTTTAAATACTAAAAATAGTGGGCTGGGGAGGCTTTTTCCCTCATGCATGTTTATATCAACTCTTGGGTAATGATTTTGTCTTGCTTAATATCCCAACACAAAAATTTTCTATTTCTAAGATATAAAAGTGGATTTTGATTTTTGACTTTTTTTCATATAACTTTTTTTTTTAAACAAAGGTTTAGGGTGCAAATATATCTATCAAAAGAATGGTGATCCTTTGCACATAAGTGAACTCCTGGAGAGTTTCAAAAAGGATGCAAGAAGCTTTAAATTGAGAGCTGGAAAACATCAGCTTGAAGATGTGACAGGCGTGCTGAAAAAATTTCTCTCTGACATTGATGATGCACTTCTTACAAAGGAGCTCTATCCATATTGGATCTCTGCGTTAGGTAATACATATAATATAGAATATAATAAATGCTTGCCTTCTAATTTGATAATTGTATTTTTAAAATCTTTAATCTGAGAATTTAATTGAAAGGAAAAATGTACATATTGGCTTAGAACAGAAATTGTGCAAATATCAATAGTTGTTTATATCTACCTCAAAATAAATTTATAGTAATAATTGCTAAATAGTGTGTTAAAGTAATTCTTAGTTTTCAGATTTCTTAGTGTTTGCTTTAACTTTGGAAGTGTTATGGTCAAGTCCATGTATGCTATTAATTTCTCATTAAGATTAAAATGAAAGGTGTAATATAAGATTTGTTTTATCCCATTTCCCCATTGGCTCTTCACCTCTATCATTTACCTCTGTAGGGGTACATAACAGTATTTTTTTTAACTCTTTCTTCATTTTTCTTTCATTAATTAAAAAAAAGCTTTATACTATTTAAGAAATGACCCTAGAAAAGTAGTTTATTTAATCACTTATTGGGTTAAATTGATTCAGTAAAACCTACATTTACATCCATTAATTCAAAATAACTCCTTTTACAAAAACGTTACAAAAATGAAGACTTAAATGTAAACATTACTTTTAATCCCATCTCTCTAATAGAACAATTTTCATTCTTATATATTATTTTATAGTCTTTGTCCCTACACCTATAATTTATATATAATCCTTATTATATTAATAAACCACAAACATTTCTCATATATTTACAGTTTTTAAAAATGATTTTCATTCTTCATTTTTTTAATTAAAAAATATTGAATTTTTTACCATAATTTACTAATATATTTCTCACTTGCACATTTAATCTGTTTCAAGATTTTTTGCAAAAGTGACCTTTGAATTTCACTATATGATATTCCTCTGTTGAGAAATGGGCTTTTTCAGTGAAAGTATTTGTTTAATCTCAAATATAAATATATTTTAAGGGATTAATGTGGAAATGATGTTATAAAACATCCACAGGTTGAAAAATTATCCCAAGAATGACCTGTATTAGTGTCAGCAAGCAGGGAGTGGGATTGTTATTAAAATAAAGCTTTTCTTTTTTAACTACCAATTCAGAAGCCTTTTATTTGCCTCTTGATATTTCTCAAATCGATAGGTTCAACTCCAATCAAAAAGAGAGTTGATTGCATAATTACATGGGATATAAAATATGGAATTAGATAATATATCTCTTTAAGCTCAGTTATCTTGCCACCCTCATTTTTGTTTCAGAAAGATTTCTTTGTAATTTATAACTATGAAATTACAGCATCTCGATTAAGGCTTATAATTTGTCTTTGTTGTAAAATCAGTTATCAAAAATTTGAGGCAAATAGACTTTTGCTCAGTTATCAGGTTCTATGACAAAGATGTCTTTAATGTCAGGGGGAGGTAGTTGGTAGATAGTAGCACGTGTCAAAGAGGAATGTGTTCACCTTTTATTTGTATGTGAATTCTTGGGGAAGGTTTTGGATACTAGGTCAGATAGCCTTAAAGTCATTTGCTTTTAGATCCAGCATAGCCCTGACTTGTCAGAAGTGCCCTATGTTGGATCTGACAAGAATAAACCGGAATGTTCGTGGTGACCTCGTAGGAGAGCTCTCTTGGGTCCTGTGCGCTGAGGCAAAGAATGCCTTGCAATGTCATACCACTTATTTATATGATATATGATCTGTTCTAAGAACACCATTAAATTGAAGTCTGTGGCTAGCTGAACAGTTCCTTGTATTTTCTATATGACCTGAAATCTATCTTAAGTTTTACTTTCAAATTGCTTAAGCTTTACTTTGAAAATATCATCTATTTTATCCTTATTAGATTCGTGAAAATATGCTGTACTAGCATGACTTCTTATAGTAAGTGTAGTAGAATTAATTACATTTTATTAAATAAATACCATTACAGTTAGAAACTGGATGAGAAGAGGGTAAATATTTGGATTGTACTGGAGATGATAGATCATTCTTCATTCACTTCCAGTATAGTCCTTTGAATGTAATTTGGGTGTTTTCCACTCTTGCTTTTAGAGAGTCATCTACTAGCACGCTTAAGTCAGTATGATCACGTTTACTTTCGGAGACCTTACAGGCAGGCTAAATCAGTACAAAAGAGCTACCAGTTACAGTTTTGAATAGGAGTCTACTTCAGAAATGTGCCACAGAGTTTCTTACCTCCCCAGGGATCCTAATGCCCTTTACAAGTGACTGTGTACTTTTAAAGAATCATTAATGTGCTGCTGTCTTTCTGTGAATAGAATAGGTAGGGCTAAGCAGAAAATGAAAAAGTCTTGTTTCCAAAGGTAGTTGGGAATTGCAAGGGAATATATAAGTGCAATTCCCTTAAGTTACAAAGTCAGCACAAGGGTTATTTATTTGAAGAATGGCCTTTCATTTCTCTCATGAGCTAGCAGGTCAGATCAGACCACCACTATACATCTTCTAGAGTCTAGAACTTTGGGAGTTCCTGGGTCTAGTTTCTCCAAGTATTTAACCTCTGGAGTTAGGATAAGGAAGCATAATTCCTTTTCATCCTCCTTTCCATAACAGAGGGTCCATTCTCCTCTAAGTCTGTGTAATAGTTTTCAGCGCCTGCACATGACTTCTTTCATTACCCCCTCCCTTTTCCAAGGAGTTGGAGGTGCCAGGCCTGGTAAAAGGCCCTATACATGGATCTGCGGGGTAATGCAGTTCATAGCTTTGGGACGGTTCATAGTTTTGGTAAGATTTTTGTGATTTCACAAAGAGAAGAAAAAAGAAATGTCATTTTCAAATAACAGTGAAATCTTTCCATAGCCAAAGAAAGTACTTTTGGTTTATCTCTCAATTTGTACTCCAATTTGAGTTATTAATTAAATATATTCCTATTAGTTGAAGTTCAGTTGTTCGTAAAGTGGAAGATAAAACGCAAACCTGGGTTTTGAAAGTGCTTCATTTTTAATCAGAAAGTATTAGAACTATAGCTTATTATCATGTAATGTTGATGTAAATGCTTTTCCATTATTAGAGAAGTTTGAATGTTCTATTGAAATTCAATTAGATCACTTAGTGAAATACAATAATGACTACTGTTTTAAAATACTGTTAAAAGGCAAATTTGTAGTACAGACTCTTAGTTTAGGCCTAAAATTGTTTTTTGTTTTGTTTTGTTTTTAACCTCTAGATACTCAGGATGACAAGGAAAGAATTAAAAAGTATGGAGCATTTATACGTACTCTTCCAGGGGTCAACCAAGCAACGTTGGCAGCTGTAATTGAACACCTTTACAGGTGGGTGGTTTCATGAGCTTTCCTAAACATTTCAAACATGCCTTTCAATACATCATTATTTCTTAAATTTAAAGTAGTATAGCAAACTTTCTATATGGGACTGTGAATTTCCCATCATATCTTAAAAATGGTTTCAATCTACCAAAAAACTACTAGAACTGATAAATGTATTTGGTAAGGTCATAGGATACAAAATGAATATATAGAAATCTGTTGCATTTCTAGAGACTAATAATGAAGTAGCAGAAAGAGAAATTAAGAAAATAATTCCATTTTTCCATTTTTGCAATTCCATTTCTCCATTTTTCCATAATTGCACCAAAAATAATAAAATACTTAGGAATAAACTTAACCAATGAAGTGAAAGATTTGTACTCCAAAAATTATAAAACACTGATGAAAGAAACTGAATATGACAGAAATAAGTGGAAAGATATACTATGCTCAAAGATTGGAAGAATTAAATTGTTAAAATATTCATACTACCATACTACCTAAAGCAATCTATAGATCTAATGTAATTCCTATCAAAATACCAATGGAATTTTTTACAGAATTAAAACCAAGTAATCCTAAAATTTGCATGAAATCACAAAGTTCCCAAATAGCCAAAGCAATCTTGAGAAATAGCAGTAAAGCTGGAAGTACCACAATCCTAGATTTTAAGACATACTACAAAGCTCTAGCGATTGAAACAGTATGGTACTGGCACAAAAATAGACACACAAAGCAATGGAACAGAATAGAGAGTCCAGAAATAAACTCATGCTTACATGGTTTATTTATGACAAAGGAGGCAAGAATATACAATGAGGAAAAGACAGTCTCTTTAACAAGTGGTGCTAGGAAAACCAGACAGCTACATGCAATAGACAGAAACTGGATCACTTCCTAATACCATACACAAAAAACAAATTGAAATGGATTAAATACCTAAATGTGAGACCTTAAACAATAAAAATCCTAGAAGAGGACATAGACAGTAATTTCTTTGACATTGACGTTAGAAAAATCTTTCTAGATGTCTCCTTGGGCAAGGGAAACAAAAATAACCTATTGGGACTACACCAAAATAAAATGCTTTTGCACAGGAAAGGAAACTATCAACAAAACAAGGAAGCCTACTGAATGGGGGAAGATATTTGCAAATGATATATCCAATAACGGGTTAATACTCAAAGTATATAAAGAACTTCTGCAAGTTAATGACAGAGAAACACATAATCTGATTAAAAATGGGTGGAGGACCTAAATAGACATTTCTCCAAAGAAGACAGATGGCCAACAGACACATGAAAAGATGCTCAACATCACTTATCAGGGAAATGCAAATCAAAACTACCATGAGATATCACCTTACACCAGTCAGAATGGCTAGTAACGAAAAGACAGGAAATGATAAGTGTTGGCAAGGATGTGGAGAAAAGGGACCCCCTCATGCACTGTTGATGGGAATATGAAATAGTGGGAATATGAAATATGAAATAGTGTAGCCACTGTGGAAACAGTATGGATGTTCCTCAAAACATTAAAAATAGAACTACCGTATGATCTGATAATTCCACTACTGGGTATTTACTCAAAGAACGTAAAAGCACTAATTCAAAAACATACATACACCCCTATGTTTATTGCAGCATTATTTATAATAGCCAAGTCACAGAAACAATGTTAAGTGTCCATCAATAGATGAATGGATAAAGAAGTAGTAGCATGTATATGCAGTGAAATATTACTCAGCCATAAAATAGAATGAGGTTTTTGTCATTTGCAACAACATGGTTGGACGTAGAGGATATTATACTAAGTGAAATAAATCAGACTGAGAAAGACAAATACCATATGATTTCACTTACATAAGGAATTTAAGAAAGAAATGAACAAAGAAGGGAAAAAAAAAAAAAAAAAGCCAGATTCTTAAATACAGAGAACAGCTGGTGTACCAGAGTAGGTAGGTGGGAGGATGGGTGAAGAAAATGGTTTTAAAATGAAATCCCCGGTAAACTATCACTTTAGTGTTCTTTCTGTAACTAAGATCCATTTCAGATAAATAGCATCCTGGAAGATTTCTTAAATGAATTAGAAATAATCAGGTACAGAATCCCCAAATGAATCCAGTGCATAAGCACACAATTTTTGAAACTCAAGGGGGAAGCTAGAGAAGAGAAGGAGTCCCGAATTCTCTAGCAGGAGTCTGTCTGTGAGCATAGTATTTTCTCATGGTGGACTCTACAGAAACTTTTAATTCTTCCTTATGAATTTGTATCTAATTGATAATTCTAACATTTTAGTGTCAGACTGTTGATCAGAGGAGAAAATTTTAAAAATCAAAAATGTCTTAATATATGTAGTTTTCAACATTTGGGAGGATAGGAAGAATATAGTAGTAGCTTGAGAAGTGAAATCTCTGAAGGATGAGGAATGTTTTGAAAAAAATAAAAACTTTTAAAATGAAAGGTTTGGTTTGTTTTGCTATCAGCAAGAATTACCACAGAACTTTAATAAGTGTAAATATGGCTTAAGGAATATCATTGTAGCTACAGTTCTTCCTGCATGGATGTAGAACTCTCTTGAATGAATTTTAGTGAAGCTAATTTCTACTAAAACTACCTTATTTGCAGTCTACATTCAGAAATTATTCACAATTTCTTTTCTTGTTATATTTCTTTTCCCACTACCACTTCTCATGCATGTAAACTCCATTACTGTAAAACTGATTTTCTTATTATATTATACAAGTATAATGTATATGTTGTATAGTCTTATCTCTAAGGAGACATTGGAACAGATTTTTTTTCAAATATTTTAATGAATGACCAAGCTGCTACAGTTTATTAAGTTAATATTTTAAATATTGAGTTATACATATTTTTTCTTAAAATCTATTGATTGAGAGAGAGTGGGCACATGCTCTTGAGAGGGAGGAAGTGGGGAGAGAGAGAGAGATGGAGGGGGGAGAATACCAAGCAGACTCCCTGCTAAGCGCAGACCCTAATGTGGGGCTTGATCCCACAACCCTGAGAACATGCCCTGAGCCAAAATCAAGAATCGGATACTTAACCAACTGAGCCACCCAGGTGGTTAAGAATCTTTAAATTCTTAATTCAGGTTTGAATTTGAGATAATGAGTTCCTGTCCTTCCCCCTCCCTCCTCTCCAACTGACATATGTTTTAGTTACTACTACGTACACAACAGTACCTATTAAGATTCCATGTGAAGGGGGGCCTGGGTGGCTCAGTCAGTTAGGCGGCTGCCTTCGGCTCAGGTCATGATCCCAGGGTCCTGGGATCGAGTTCCGCATTGGGCTCCCTGCTCAGAGGGGAGTCTGCTTCTCCCTCTCCTTCTGCCTGCCTCTCTGCCTATTCTCTCTTTCTCTCTCTGTCAAATAAATAAATAAAATCTTTAAAAAAAATTAAAAAAAAGATTCCACGTGGACAGAAACATTTGATAATAATACATGAAGACAAAGTCTTAAAGTCCACCGTTCCCAAACTGAGCATCTGGATGTCCGAGTGAATACACAGGGTTGCTGCAGGGCATTTTATATTTTTTAGGGAAACACGGCAACATTGGGACAGTTTTTAATATAAAGAATTTTAGCATGGGCAGAAGGATGGAGTGATTTGTCGTGTGTTGACACCCAGGGGATGCTTCACATCTAAAGGGGTATGTGAGCTGGGTGTGAAAGAAAGGTAAGGACAAGATATGAGTGGAGGATATTTTCTGGGAAACAGGTGTGCTAGGGGATGAGCTGGTTGGTTGTTGGCTGGCACGTGGTTGTGAAAGGCTCAGATGGTCATGTAAAAAATTTAGATTTTATTCCTTTAGGTAATAAAGAGTGACTAATCAAATCTGTTTTAGGACAATAACCCATCAATGGGATTGATTGGGAAGAGATTAGAATAGATGCAGAGAAACTAATCAGGAAACTGTTTTCTTGGACTTCTAATGAGAAAGCCTGAGTGAGAAGAGACTCAGTGGGCTGAATAGGAACACTTGGGAATGATAGCATGTGGGGCAGAGAAATGAAGGAAGGAAAGGGAAAAAAAAAGCTGTAGTGTGGACTTTATGCCAGAAATTAAGGCAGTTGCAGAAATGGAAGAGAAGAGAGGTGAAGAGTAGCAAAGAGGATGCTATGGCAGAAGGAAGTCTCACAAAAGGTGGGAACGTTTGATAGAGTTGTCAGAAGTTTGCGAGGTCGATTTGGATAAGGTCGGGTTGATTTAGCATTTAATTCCATCCCTGCCCCAGATAACAGATCGTTTCCTGCATGACTAACATTTACTTAATTCCATTCACCAGATATTTATTACACAACTCCAGGGTGATTAAAGTGAGAGTCCCAGACGGGGAGATGCTTCGATCCTGTAACACAGACCTGCAGATAAATTTTCCAGATGTTTATAATTTAGTGTGATAAAAGTACAGAAGTGGTTTTGAGAGGGATGTCCACAATTATCATACCCTCCTCTATTAACTTGCAATTCCTTTTGCATCTTATGAGTCACATACGATGATTACGCTTGCCCTGTCTCTGCTGTGCAATTTGGTATTTTATTGTGAGTTTCTTACATCATCATATATATTCCTGTCACCTTTTACTTTTTTTTGTAATTACTAGAATCTCTGCTTTTTGTAGACAGGTGTACCTAACTTAGTCTTGTTTTATTCCTTTGATACAGCTGGTCTCTCTTTTTTAGTATGTATTTTAAAATTTATAAATGTAATTAGGAAATTGAGCAGGGTCCTATTATATATAATTAGTAACAAATAGCATCAACAGATACTTCTATGTGTATCACTTACAGTTATCACCTGTGCATTTTTGTCGATGCAAATGTTATTAAGAAAATCGTAAAGAAAATATATTAATAGTACTGTACTGTATTTATGGAAAAGAATCCACATGTAAGTGGACCCACACAGTTCAAACTGTGTTGTTCAAAGGTCCGCTTTACTTTAAGGGCTCTTCGTAAGACCCAAATGTTGTAGCCTACTCGTGGGGAGAGTTGACTCCTCTGTTCATGTCTGTTCATTGCAAAAAGCCATTCTTAATAATATCCAAGAAAAGTATAATTGTATTTTTAAATTAAGTGTTTGCTTTTTGAGAAATAATATCCAATTTTGAGTAACCATACAAACACATGCTGCCAAGTATTTTCTCACCTGATTTGCCCTTCCTGGAAAACTCAGCTCAGCCTTGAACCTTGAATTTGGAACTCTCTCCTATATGCCTCCCAATTCACCTTTCTTGCCTTGTTTCCTACTTACCTACTGCCCCCTATTCCCTCTTTCATTTATGCTTCAGTCCCTCTAGTCATTTTCCACCATTGTGCAAGCACATCTTTATGCCTTAGCCTCAGGTTGCACCATTATCTGGGATTATTTGGATATGGTGGGTCCCTCCTCCAATCAACAAACAAGTACTGCTTTGTAACCTGTAGTCATATCTTCTTTTAGTTTTTTTCTTATGTTCTTAACTAGACTATAAACTAGTTGGAAAAAAGAACTGCAGTTTTCTTTAAATCACCACCATACCTGTTATATCAGAGACCTTCAATATGTGTGTGTGCTAAATAGTGATAAATGGGTATTGTGACTAAAGTTCTATGAAAACTTCAAATCGAAGTGTGTGGTAATGAGCTGTGCTTTTCTCTAACAGGGTTCAAAAATGCTCAGAAATCAATCACATGAATGCGCATAATTTGGCCTTGGTCTTTTCATCCTGTTTGTTTCAAACTAAGGGACAAACTAGTGAAGAAGTGAATGTAATCGAGGACTTAATTAATAATTATGTTGAGATATTTGAGGTAAATATTTTATATCCTTCCCTTGTTAAAATAGTTTTGATGTTACTGTTGGCAAATTAAAAAATACATTTTAAGATGTTTATAATCAAGTCTTTATGAATATCTAAAAGTAAAGGATAGTTATATGATTTTTAATACTTTAAATACAACTAGCCTTTTAAGCTGTAGCCATTCATTTAAATTTGGCTGCTTTGAAAGCCATCTGGTGTCTTTTGGACAGAATATTTTCTATTTATGGTGTTTCTATGGCTTTTTTTCTTTGTCAGTATATTGTATGTATTAAGTATATCTACTCAGAGGTGTGAAATTATGAATTTCATAAATTTGGTAATAGATACCAGGCTGATAAATTCTACAATTGAATGCATTTTAGTGTTTTCTTTTAATTATGTCTGAATTAGAAATGAAGAAAAACCTGAAATAGTATCCTGTGGTTTTTACTAAGTCATTTGTTCTAATTATTTGACTTTCATTTGCTATTTTATGAAGTCAATATATTCAGTGTTTCATCAGAAAACTGTCAGAATAGGGATGATTTCTTAGTTGAAAGAAGTAAAAATTGAGGAAATTAGCCCAGGATTTGAATATGGGGGGAGAATATAAGGGATCTGAGTCAAAGGTTCAGTTTCATCACTTAATTACCACTGGCATGGCTGTCATGTAACCTTTGGGGGCTCTTTGTTAAATGGTGATACATTGTATAAGACTTGTTGTTTTCCAGGGTTATGGATATGTTAGTTGAAATCAAGTGGGTTAATGTAATAGGTTATTATACGTAGACTTACCTTCTTTAAGTGATCACAAGATTCCTTAGCCAAAGGAAAGAAACTCTATTTTAATAAAATAAAAACACATGGTTTTTATCTTAATTTATATAGGAATGGACACCAAAATTGTTGGATTCTCTTTGCTCTTTGATCTCTTTTTTATTTTCTTTCTATATGTGTCCACTGTTTTTGATCAACAGCAGCTTCTTTGCAATAATTCTGATGCTGAGAAATGAAAGAATTAGGAAAAAAAGTAACATGTGGCTTTACGTGCTCTCTTTATTCTCTTTTTGTACTGTTACGTGAATAAATGGTTATCTTCATGGTTTTGCTGACTCCAACTTGAAGTGGTGGAAATTTTGTATGCACTTAATGAGCATTTCAGTTTGAGACTGAGTCTTGTCTCTCAACCTACATAAACTCTAGCAGATCATTCATAATCCCCCCTCTGCTTATTAAGTTGCTTAGCGATACAGCTTCCATTGATGGAATCCACAGTTTGAAGTGATGTCATCATAAAATGCTCTGAACTTTATGAGGCTCTGTCATGTTGGCTTTATTTCTCCCCTAGCTGTGTGGGCCCATGCTGATTAAGATGGCCATTCTCATTTATTTTTAAATTGTTGGTCTTTAAATTCCTGAAGAGTTATGTGAGGATGAGTACCATCACTTCTTGTATTTTATTAGAATGTCCCAAATTATATTTTAAACAGGTTAAAGAAGACCAAGTCAAACAAATGGACATAGAAAATAGCTTTATTACCAAGTGGAAAGACACTCAAGTGAGTAGTATTAGTTAGATCTCCAAAGAATAAAAAAAAAATAAAAATTAAAACAAAAAACAAAAACTTCTATTGTAAGTAAAGATGTTTGTTGTATTTATTTTCAAGTTCCTATTTGAAGCAAAGTAAAAGTAATGGGGAAAAAAGAACCTAGATAAAATAGCTGCGTATTTTTGCAGCATGATGCTTCTATGCAAAATGCCAAAGTATGTTAATGTAAATTTTTCAAAATACAGAGGGAAAAATCATTATTAATCTTATTAATGCCCTTTATAAAATCAATTTTTACTTACAAATGCGCTATTAAAAATGCCAGTGGATTTCAAAGGAAGCATTTAAAGCCAAAGACTAGAGTAAATTGAAAATTCAGCTCTATAATGATTCTTTCCATTATGATTTTGAAAATATAAATTATTTCTTCTATGCTTTTGCTCTGCATGCTCTCAGATGTTTATATTAGTGGAATGTTTCTAATGTCATCTTTGTCACATATGCTGATTTATGTCTTAAATTGACTATTTTCTAAACCTTCTTTTGCTTTCCTCAGTCGCATTATATTGGATTTGTGTATTCAGGTTGCACTGCAGTTTTCCAGCATACCTTTCCTTGTTTGGTGAACATTCACTGGATTTTCTTAAAATTCATATTTAAACTTCCTCTAATCACTCTGAATTGTAGTGGATTCAGGATACCAATAAAAATAATATCAATGGGTCAAATATATTCTGTTTATAGATAGAGAATGAGGCAAATGCTTCCTTATTAGTCAGACTCTAAATTTACCTTATTCCTGAAATATTAGAAAAGTCATTGGAGCTACCATTCCATATGAAGGAGGGGAGGAAAGCCTTCAATTCTAGTGCCCGAGATCCTGAGTACTAGTACTGTGATAGAGTACTTACCTGAGAAATCATCTCCTCCATTTTGACCCTAAGTAATTAATGCAGACTCCAGAGGAGTTAACCATAACACTAAAAAATCTGGCTCGTTGAATTGAATTACTTGAATTACTGCTTTCTGGGGAGTTTCAGTCATGAAATAAAGGGTTGTGTGAGCCCAAGGGATAATCTTTGGCAGCATTACCTATGTTGTTATTAGATCAAATATGAGTGTCCTTTTGCATTTTTATCTTTTATATTCATATTACAATAATGAGTCTTGGCTGCTTTTTAATTAAGTATAAGTCACTAAGTAGAGGAAAAGAATTGTCTATAAAATAGAGTAACTGGACCAGAAAAGTAGAAGACTTTGGAGAGAAACCTGTTATTTCACGTGTGTTTTTCTTTAATCCATTGAAAACTCTGCTATAGCGTATTTTTCTGACAGCCTCCGTGTCTTATCCCTGTTTGAATTTCTTAGCTATTCTTGTTTTGGCTTCTCTCTATGAGTCCTTTGTGTTTGCATTTTTAATTTTTAAAATGTGTCCTTCCTGGAGAGTTGTTTATGCAAACACAGTGAAAAGTAGAAATGTCAACTGTATCGTTTCTTCCCTCAAATTTTTGTGTAGCTTCGAAAGTGAGGAAGAAAAATTGGAAATATGCTTTTCTAAGTCTGTAGTGTCAGAATAATTAAGAACACTTCCTCAAAGTACCTTTTTAATGTTTTCCTCACTAATTTCTTCATCAGGTTTTATTTTTAGTAAAATTTAACTTCAGAATGATTGTTTCTCCAATATCTTTTTTTTAAATTGGGAGATACTATTTCTAAGTGGTTACATAACTTAAGGCAATTTCTGAAAAAAGCTACTCAAAATATTTTTCATAGATTCCTTTGGTTTTTCATTACCCTTTTCCACATTATACTGTTAATCTACATAGTGATATCTTACAGTTTTTATTTTCTGGATTGTCTCTTCTTCACTTAATATGTCTCCTGGGATATAATAGTGACCCAAATATTGGAACACTACATGGTTGGCTGACAATAATTAAAATAAAAACTTCTCTTTTTCATCTACCTTATTCTATCACTTCACTTTTTTTCTTTGCTAAATATATTTTCTCTATTTTTTTAGTTTTAATATAGCTCCAATCTAATTTATCCTCAAATTTCAATTTTTAGATATATCTCTTTGAAAATTTAGCAACACCTTTTTTCCCTTTTAAATAATGGTATTATGCCCACACTGTAGCTTAGAGCACAATTACATATGGATCATTGCAATTCTCATTTTGTTTGTCCTATTAACATACATGGCGATGGCTCTTCTAACTTCTCTTGTTGACGTCAGCCTATTCCCGTTGTAGCCAGATTCATTATTTTACCAAGAATATTCAGGACATTAAACTCTTGGTTAAGAGATGGAAAAAAAAAAATTGCACTGGAATTACATCATTTGTGTAGATTCCTTGTCAACCGCATCTGGAAAATGTGTATCATCATGCTATCGACAGGCTCATTTCACTATTATGAAATATTTAGAAATAGGGCTAGGACTTTGTGTCTTAAGTGTCATACTTACATTTGTTGTTTTCACATCTGCCCCTTTCTAGGTTTCCCAGGCTGGAGATTTGTTAATTGAAGTGTATGTAGAAAGGAAGGAACCTGACTGCAGTATTATAATTCGGGTGAGTCCTAAAGATGGATGTAAAGAGTACTTTTGGAAGTTGCCAGTATTAATATACATTAATTTTTGTATCTTGAATTCTCCATTATTTCTTGTAGTTTACCTGTCTCATTCAAACAATGACTGATTGATAGGATTGACTTTTTATTCCAAAATCCTCCAGGAATTCCATGTTTTAGTCATTTGGAAAGAGAACATCTTAGATGCTTTAGGTTATGGTTAGGATTTCCTGTAGGTTCTAGAAAATAACCTGACCTCAAATACTTGTTCCTCCTCTTCATAGCATCTTAACATTAGGCAAGTGAACTTACTCTGAGTTGCAGTTGTCTCACCTGTAAAATGAGGATAATTAGAGTATTTACATCATATCATTGATGTGAGTCCTCAGTGGGATACTGCTTCTAAAACAGTAAATTGCTTGGCACGTAAGTGTTTAATAAATAATCAATACTACTAGTCCTATATTATTTTTATTATTTATTAATGGTCTTCCACTTTTGTATTCTAGACTAACTTCCTATCTTCCAATTTATTTGAATATTGGACAACTCTTTTTGAGTATATGAATCTTTTTTTTTTTCTGAATTAAAAGTATCCTTGTGCTGCCATATTCTGTATTTCATCTGCCTTAGGGAGGGTAACAGTGATAATTCAGTGTCCTACTCAGTTAAGACTACATTCTCTGTATGAGGAAGACATTCTGCCATCTAAAGTCCAAGATTTAAATAGAGTCTTATATATTTCTGGACTTTTGTTAAATACATTGTACTTACTCATGTATATTTTTTAATGATTACATATTGTGTTTCTGTGGCTCTGGTTAACTCACTTAGAACATGGCGTGAACTACTGCAGTCATAAGTCGCTAAGAGGCAGGAGTCTTGCCACTCTTTGGCCACATCAAATTTCTTATGCTGCTCGTGGTATGTTGATAATAGGGGACACAAGGAAGTAGTACAGATAATCAGCACAAGTTCATCGCTAACGCTAGAAGAGGTAGTCAGTTCAAAGCACATGACTTAGCTCCACCTACGCACAAACTGTTTAGCAGCTCATTTTAATTTTATCTTACCGATAAGACCATAACACAAGTTATTACAATTGACCAAAATTCTTATTTTAAGTATATGCACATAAAGGACTGTCTGGTTTCACCTATAACAACTCCAAATTCTCTTTAAAAACATAACAAAAACTATGTAAAAATAATCATTAACATTTGTTTCATGCTTGAGACTTTAGAAAACTCTTCAGTTATATTTATTTCAGCTGGTTGTTACCTCAGCCCCAGGAGATAGGTGAAGCAAGTAATGTCTCAAGTTTACATGAATACAAACTGGGAATTAAAAGTATTAAGGCCAGAACACATTCCTTGATCATCATATTCCTAATCTGATGATCATCATACTGATTTGTATATTCCTTGGAGTAATGATTTTCCAAGCATGCTTTGTGTAGTTCTAGTAGTTCTGGGGGTTCCCTGTCCTTGGGAGTCTTCGGGGATAAGGAATGGAGTTCCAGTTCTCCATTCCTGTGTCAACCTGAGGCACTCCTGGCTGACTCCTTCACAGTTTGGTTTCTCATTAATTTATTATTTTAAGAAAGGGTTATGCTTCTTAAAAAATGTTAAAGCCATTGAGGTGTGAGCAGCATTATTGAAATGATTCATCTAATGTTTCTACTGATTAAAGTTTTCCAGTTTTCCCAGATAGTGAGGTTTTTTATTCTTTTAAGATTATATTTAATTGGGCTTTTAAAAATAGAAACCAGTGGACTTTATTGTATCATTCATATATTCCGAAGAAAGCTATACATTCCACAAAGTACAGAAGATGGACCATAGGAGTTACCTGTAACAAAATGTGTTTTATGTTACATATGTGTGATATGCTTATGTACTGGACAGGAGAAATGGTAATGAGCACATTCCTTTTTGAAGAAATTTTTAAATAGGTACATACTTTTACTGAAAAAGTGCAAACTGGGTTGCAGTTGCAGTATCCTAATGTTTAAAACATCTTCTGTTTGTTTAACGTTATAACTAAATTCATATTGAAAAAAGCCAGCTTGCTTTTGTCCAGTATGCATTTAAGATTGGTAAAAACAAAAACAAGAAGAAACCAATCAAAAACCCCAAAAGTCCCTGAAGAAGATGGTGTGCTTATGTCATGGCCTGAGGCTTTGGGACTCTTGTGGAGCTGGCCCCAAGGCTGGCACTGCAGACTTTGTCCTCTGCCCTGAAATCCTGGCTCCAGTGTGCTTTGGTATCCCACCATCTGTCGCTTGGCATGGCAGGGCACACCACAGACCACTAAAACCCTGGGGCTTTTTGGCATGGTAGACCGCAGTTGACTGTGTATAATTCAGGGCCCAGACTGAATAAACCAAACCACTTTGAACTCTTGATTATTGAACTGATGAGTGAAAATTTTTAGTCCTGGAATACCATTGGATTCACCGTCTGGTGAAGGTCTTTCTGTGTATGACTATGTACCTTCTTCCCTCCTTGAGTGATAGAAGTGCTCACTAAGTGAGAAAAAAAATATTATTCCTGATTATGTCTATTTTGTAATATCTTTTTGTACTCACATTTTATGGAGAAGATTGGAACAGGCTGTTTTTCCTGTGTGCTTAGAGAAGCTAGGTAAACAGACTAAGAAACTTGGAGCATCATAAGTTGGTAGATGGGGTGACCACTATTGGCCCTGTCATTAGGCAACTTCTGTGTCTGACATACATTCTGAAGAAATTTTGCCTCTCTTATAGATATCTCCTGTGATGGAAGCAGAGGAATTAACTAATGATATATTAGCAATAAAAAATATAATTCCTACGAAAGGTGATATTTGGGCCACATTTGAAGTCATTGAAAATGAAGAGCTGGGTAAGTGATTTTCATGCTAGGATTCTTAAATTCCTTATAGTGTGAAGAAGTACTATTTTTGTGACAAGTCATTAAAACATGTTTTTTTAAATATTAACATCTCATTTTGAAATCCCTTCTACCTCAGTGCATGTGTTAATATGTTACTGCCACTTGAGGTTGCCCTCCTATGATTTTACTCATCTCAATAATTATTGACTATAAAAATATAGTGCAAAGCATTAGGCATCTATGTTGCTGCTTTATGAAATAGGCCTTTGTTTATAAGGACATGCAGTTTGATTTGTAACCATATGGCCACCCACCTCATTGCTATATACTACTCTTTTAACAAAAACAAAGAATGTTGATTTAAAAGATTATTATTAAAAAAAAATTGTTTTAAGCCTAGTGGACTCTTATTTTTGGCTTTTTCCCTGTCCTCTGTCTTTAGTGGAGTAGATCAGATATCTTGTCATCTTTTATCTCAGAGGCAGAAGGATGAAGAGAGCTTTTAAAACACCTTCACTATTCCAGTAGTCAAATGCTAAATAAGCTTTACATTCTAATGACACCATTTGGTTGTAAAGACCTCTAGGAAAAAGAAAAAAAAAAAAGAAAATCTTTGTACCTTGACCATCTGTCTAGCTGATACCTACTAAGGTCTTGGGACCCTTTCAAGTATAGTTGTCAAACTGCCAAAAGTAAAATCTTGCCAACTGCAAGCTCAAGATAAAAATTAAAATTCAACATTAAAATACCCTATCGTGTATTATTAGGAGTGTTGTAGTCAATGTTAGAATGAATGGGATGTCAGATACTTTGTCTTTCATTAGTTCATCTTGATGTTTTCATTTCTTTATTTTTATCGTGCATGATTCTTTAAAAATCTAATTTGTTTCCTGAGATTAAGAATTCCTCATATCAGTGAGACCATATGATACATGTCTTTCTCTGATTGACTTATTTCGCTCAGCATAATACCCTCCAGTTCCATCCACGTCGGTGCAAATGGCAAGATTTCGGGAAACGAACTGAGGGTTGCTGGAGTGGTGGGGGATGGGAGGGATGGGGTGGCTGGGTAACAGACATTGGGGAGGGTATGTGCTATGGTGAGCACTGTGAATTGTGTAAGACTGTTGAATCACAGACCTGTACCTCTGAAACAAATAATACATTATATGTTAAAAAAAAAAAAAGGAAAAGATGGTAGTAAGGGAAAAATGAAGGGGGGAAATCGGAGGGGGAGAGGAACCATGAGAGACTATGGACTCTGAGAAACAAACTGGGGGTTCTAGAGGGGAGCAGGGGGATGGGTTAGCCTGGTGATGGGTATTAAAGAGGGCACGTATTGAATAGAGCACTGGGTGTTATATGCAAACAATGAATCATGGAACACTACACCAAAAACTAATGATGTGATGTATGGTGATTAACATAACATAAAAAAAATCTAATTTGTATTCAAAAGTAATTATTTTTTAATATTCATTGTCAAGAGTCCATGACTCCCATGCTTTGGTGTTCACACTGTGTCTCCCCATACTCAGTCACCCCATTTACAGGAAGTGGTCTAGTGGATGATTAGTATGACCCCCCACACCCCCCCCCCACCAGCTTCCAAGTCCAGTTGATTTGCTTCAGGCTTTACTTGTCCTTTCTGTAGAGTTTATTGTTAATCAGCATTCCCTTTCCTTTTGAAGTTCTTCACTCTGTTTTTGACACTGTGTGGATGCTCCTCCTGGCTCTCTAATCGTTTTATCTCATTTGTCAATTCTTCTTCTGTCTATCCCCTAAGTGGTAGGTTTCTGCTGACCCAATCTCCTTTGCCATCTTTTATTTTACATGTTCTTTATAGATAATCCCTTCCTTCTTTGTGCTTTCCTAACCTGCATGATCTCGTGTTTTCCCAGTGCATCTTTACTCTCCCCCATCTGGCCCACCAGTTGACCTCCTTTAAAACCCATACTGAGGGTTCCTTTGCACTTTGTCTTATCTGATAGTGCCTATCACATGGATTTATATTCATCTCTTGAGAGCTCCTTGGAAGGAAGGGGGGGACTTTCTTTTTTCTATATCTAGTATCTGGCATAGTGCCTTGGCCATAGTTGCCAGACAATTAAAATCTGAATAAGTGAAGCTCAATTTTTGCATTACTGTAGGTATATGGATGGTGCAGTCTTTTGATTTTTGTTGTTGTTTCATTTTAAGAAAAGGGGGTAGGTTACTAGCTTCATCATATTTGTGAGTAAAAGATAACTGTATCCTTCTAAATTACAAATAAGATCATATTGTTCCACCATTTAAAACCCTTTTATTATTTCCTCATTGCCTATCCTTCCAGATCCAGTTCAACTAATCTTTCTTCGATGAAGATGTTTAGATGAACATAGTTCTTCTCAGTGAGCTTTTTCTGATTACTTGTTTATTGATCTATAATACTGCATATTATCTACTTGTAGAATAGTAATGTATATATATCTGGCTCTGTCCTAGACCATATGTTTTTTAGGACACTTACCATGTTTTTTAGACCTTTCTACCTGTCACTTCCTCTAGTAGAATGCATTGATGTGGAACATACCCTACAAGTATCTTGTTAACTGTGGTGGGACAAAAAATAGATACATTCTGAGCTCAAGTGACTTGGACTGTTACTCTTTGGATTAGATGTATCAAAATGTGGAAGGTACATGAGAACTGATTTCTGCTTACAGATTAGGAATCACTAGGAGGTCTCAAGGCCCTGGTTAGCTCTTAGACAGCAGATTGTTTCCTATATGCTTCTGTTTCGGTTGTTTTTATTAGGAGATCCACAGCAAAATCATGAATCATGGATCATGGGGGTAGGTACCCTCTCCCCACTACTCTTATTCTCTCGAGGATTGAATCGAAGCATATCCCTGTGTCACATCACTGGAGCTTTGTGCCTGTGGGCATTGGTGCTCCTGACTGAGAGGAGCAAGCAGAATGAATGAGGATAGGAAGGAATTATATATAGCTAGAAGAGAGATTGCCGTATATCTGGAAACAGTTACTAGATTTCTCTTGGAAAATGAAGGGATGCTTACTCTGAAAATGAGTATCAACTTGAATATGACAATTAGTACATCACAAATGGTAAGATTGGATTGGGTTTTTTTTTTTTTTTTTTGGTTCCTTTTCTCCAATTTAAAAAAAAAGTTTTGATGAGAATATAAAAAGACTTAGGAGACCTCAAGTCGTTTGGATTCGCGAATATCTAAATATAAAATCAAAGGAACAACCCATGTACACCAAGAAAAAAGACATTTGATGGAGTTAAGAATTCAGATTTGGCATGGTTTTAACATTTGGTCAACTCTTTAAGTAGAATTCTCTGGAAGAGAAAGCTAAGATCATTTTTACTGCTTGTGAGGGAGCAGTGCTGGGAAAGCAGCAGAGGGGCCTGGGACTGTGCCGGCTTACTGAAGCAGATGGGAACCTGTGTTCCACCTGACCTTCTGAAATGTTAAAAGCTTTATTTCTAGTAACATGCAGGGAGGCTAAAGTGAAATATAAAAAGAAGATAAAAGTGAAGGCGTTGGTAGTCACAAGACTGTAAGTTGATAGGAAGAATGTCAGCTGGGAATTGCTGCTTTTTCAAATGTAAAGATAAATCCCCCCAAGTAACAAAGTAACCGAAAATAAATAGGTAAATAGGTAAGTAAGTGAATCAGAAGTGCTGGATTTTTTTTTAGGTGTCAGTAAATTTTAAAGCAATAGTTTTCTATGCTATCCTATCCAGTGCCCCTTTTTATAATATTTTGTAATGTTCCCTTTACTCTTCTGAGATAATCTATTATACTTACATTTAAAAAAATTATTATTCCCTAACTATATAAAAATAAGAAGCAAATATATATTGTATAAATGCTCAGACACTCCTAGATGGTTGAGGATAATGATAATAGATTTTTTTTTTTCAAGATTTTATTTGTCAGAGAGAGAGAGTGCACAAGCATGGGTAGCGGCAGGCAGAGGGAGAAGCAGGCTTCCTGCTGAGCAAGGAGCCCGATGCGGGACTCGATCCCAGGACCCCGGGATCATGATCTGAGCTGAGGGCAGACGCTTAACTGACTGAGCCACCCCGGTGCCCCTGAAAATAGATTCTTAAACCTATAAATGGAATTACGATGGATGTGACAACTACAGATGCAGACTGAAGCATGTCCATTTGTGACTCATGTATCATTAGCATCATTACTGTCATTGGTGAAAGTGTCTTAGTCCATTTGGGCTGCTCTAACCACTCTGTAGACTGGGGGGCTTATAAACAATAGAAATTATTTTTCACAGTTCTGGAGGCTGGGAAGTTTCACAAGATCAAAGTGCCAGTAGATTCAGTGTCTGGTGAGAGCCTGCTTCAGGCTTCATAGAGGGCTGTCTTTTCCCTGTGTTTTCACATGGTGGAAGGGAGCTCTTTGGGGTCTCATTTATTTTAAAAGGGTACTAATCCCATTCATGAGGGCTCTGTGCACATGACCTCCAAAAGGCCCTACCTACTAATACCATCACATTGGGGATTCGGTTCTGACATACAAAGAGTAATCTTGTTTTGCTTATCTGGTACTCAAATTGATGGAAAAATATGTCATGTTAAAACCATATAAATATTTTGAGAATATATATGTAAAGCTGAGTTAGATTCTAGGCTCAGTTAATTTATAAAACTGGTTTTTCCTCTAAATGAATGTCTAATGGGACATTTGAATTTTGTACTGGATAAAGAAAAGTCATTCTTTGTTTCATTCTTTGAACGATGCCAAACATCCCTTAACCCACTGCTGCCAATCACTAAGACAAGCTGAAACCCACCTTAGGAGAAGGTATCACCTTCATCAAGAGCTAACCTTCTCAAGTATGCTCTTATTTTAACGCTTCATCTTAAAACTGAAGGGTCCTCTGCAGATGTAGTCCCATATCCTCAGGGCCTTTACATGTAAAGCTGGAAAAAAGTAAATAAATAACCACCCAGGGGGCCTCATTTAGGTAGGCTTCTTCACTGAGAGGTTCAAGTTTGTGAAGCAGTTACATTCTCTAAAGCAATATCATAACAAAGCGTTTTCTTGTTTCTTCCTTATAGTTAACGTGATATGAAAGATCTGTTCATTTTCTGTTTTAAGATTTTATTTATCTGAGAGAGAGAAAGTGAGCGAGACGGGGAGGGCACAGGAGCAGAGGGAGAAGGAGAAGCAGACTCCCCACTGAGCAGGGAGCCCTACAGGGGGCTCAATCCCAGGACTCTGGGATCATGACCTGAGCCTAAGGCAACTGCTTAACCGACTGAGCCACCTAGGTGCCCCAGATCTGTTCATTTATTTAATCGAGATTCTTTTCAGCCTCTCTCCTGATGACACAGGAAGTGCTTTCACCCTCTGATTGTGGACAGGACAGAGAAAAACTTGCACAGCTCTTAGTTTTGCACTAAGAATTTAACTATTGAGGGAATCATCATTGTTTCAGGAAATCGTGTGCCACTACTGCCAGAAATTTAAGGATAACACCTCTTATTTGGAGTGCAAAATGGATAGTTCTCTCTTTAACAAGGGAGGCCAGGTTTATTCTGTGACCCTGATTTTAAGATATTGATAATGTGATTTACCTAGCTAAATAACACCTCCATAACCTTTTCTTCTCAAATAACTACACTGAGTTTTCAGCAATTTTTATGCTATAGATAGTATGCAACTGATTTATTTATTTCTAGTAATGCCCTAATGCCAGATGACGTGCATACCATATAATCTATCATGACAGATGGTTTGCAAATGGAACTATAAATAAAAACTTATTTGTAGGAATTTATATTCCGGCAATGTTTGATGTCTCAATTTTCCCTGCCTATTATCTCTTAAGGTAGATTTTAATGCCATTTTATAAATGTAGCATTTGATAGCCTAATACTTTGCATCCCATGTTTCGGCTCTTACTTTTATACAGGAACTTGGATCTTCAGGATTTTCATTCTCCTGAAGTATTTCATACTGTGATACTGATGAGAAAAACATACTTGACACATTTTTTTTTGCAAATCTGTATTTACTTCTGTATCTATGGTGTCAGTAATACTGTGATTTCAGTATAACTAAGAGGACACTTTAGATCTATCACTGTAGTATCTACTTGTAATAGTGACCCTCTTTAATACCAATGTTCTGATACTCGGAAGTCTCATTTCCAATTTAATCTTGTAATAAAGAAGAGGGAGCTTTTATTTCAATCCGGATACTGTTTTATAATTCTCACTTTCAAGCCAACTGTGGGCTCATCAGTTTCGTTAAGTGCAGGATGTTGAACCAAAGTATTATGTCCTTATCATCTTCTCACAATGATAGGCAAGGGAAGAGGGAAATAGGAACTGACCTTCTTCTCACTTTTGTTACCTTGTCTGGTCCTTAAAAAAATCTTAGCAATTTGATGCTTTTTTCCCCAAGTTACATGTGAGAAAATCATTATGGAGTTTACATAGTTGCCCAAAATAAGACTTAAGTGTGGCATTTAAAAATATTGGGCTTGAAAGTAAGATAGATTTGAGGTTCAAATCTTTGTTCTTTCCTTGAACCAGCTAGGGTTTGACTTTAGGCAAGTCGACTCTGATCCTTGGGTTCCTTTACATGTAAAATATGAATGATACCTAATGAAGAGTGCTGTGTAGATTAAAAGTGATAACAGATGCAAAGTATCTGGTATATATAATGTCTGATACATAGTTATTCCAGAAATGGCAACTGTTAATGGTATCAGTAGTATCCCAGAGATTGCAAGTAGTGGAACCAAGGATTAGGAAATGTCAAATGTAAAGAGAATGCTCATTCTATTAATAGTTTTTTTTTTAATACAGTTAATTCTAATTATAACCTCCCCTAATAGAGGAGAAAATTACTTGAAGAGGGGTGCCTGGGTGGCTCAGTCGGTTAAGCATCTGCCTTCAGCTCAGGTCATGATCTCAGGGTCCTGGGATTGAGCCCCACATTGGGCTCCCTGCTCAGCGGGGAGCCTGTTTCTCCCTCTCCCTCTGCCCCTTCCCCCTGCTCATGCTCTCTCTCTTTCTCGCTCAAATAAATAAAATCTTTAAAAAAATTACTTGAAAAAAATGGAACTGTTAAAGCACAGATTTTGTCTGAATTTACAAATAATTTTGTCTGCTGATTCATTTACAAATATTTTCTGTTAATATGTTCCACCATAGAAATTCATGAGATACTTCATTCCTTGAGTATTTATTGAATGTTTATTATGTACTTAGCAGTCTGCTGTGTACAAAGGATATATTTGTAAATAAGAGGTAGATTTGCCTTTAAGATGTATGGCTTAGTCGTTCATTTTTTTGTTGTTTTTTGTGGGTTTTCTTTTTTTCTTTTTTTTTTTTTTTTTGGTAATTGCCATCATCATAGTGAATAGGATTGCTCCAGTAAGCATAGAATGCAGAACTATATTTCCTTATACTAAACAGTAAGCAAAAATCTGGTTCTTTATACTGGAAGCAGAAAAATTTGTTTTCTTCTTCTGTGGACCTGAGATTATTAGGTTCTGGAATGCTGTGGTCATAGCAGGGGAGATCACTATTAAGGAGGATGTGATATATTTGGTTATTTTATCATCAATTAAAATATCATGGTTCCTATATGAGTATGATACTCTTGACATGCTCTTTCTTGTTTGTCATTAGCATTAGAAAAGGAAAAGCCAGAATGCTGTGCACTTTGTATTTAGGAAGGGATGAAAGAGTTGAATTACCTTATACATGGCTATGATCCTGAAAAAGCTGCATCAGCATCTTTATGTAAAAGCTGATGTTCTTGCTGTTTCAATTATGCCATTTTCAGGGTACTGTGGAAAGGTGTCAGTTTCCTTTTTTCCAAGCATATGTTTCTGTTGTAACATTTTATCAACTGATTGTCATATTTTGATCAGGAAAAAACTTTCTATGAAGCTTTGATTATAATTGTAAAAACAAGTTTTTTTAACTCTATGCTAAAAATTTGTGATATATTTAAAAATATGATTGCCTAAAACAAAACATATGGATGGGTACTTACCGAGGAGAAATCTGTAAGATGTCATTAACTTCTTACTTTTGGACTGTTGTGTCAACAGGTACTGTATAATATTGCCACATAATAATTCTGATTGATATTTTCACTAATAGACATAAATGACTTAGTAGTATTTTATGATTATTTTCATCCATTCTCTGTTGAAGGCATATTTTATAATTTTATCAGCTATAAATTGTTCACTGGTATTGATTGTCAGAAATTATAACATGCTAATCATGTTGGGATAAACAAAGGTTATTACTTACTACTAAACAAAATTAACTTTGCTAGTCCTTTTACAATTAATTACTTGCAAATGCAAATAGCTTTTCATAAGCAAACCGGAATGTTATATGAATTAAGAAGATGGGATAAGAAACTGGTTTCTTTTACAAAAGGGTAGCATTATTTCTGAGATTTTATCTGAAAGATAGCACCTCTGAATTTTTTTTTTCCAAAAGCTGAGTAACAAATGTCCCTGCACAGATTCATTTATATAGTAAGTTTTATGATATGCTTAATGGTGTTCTAGGTGTTAGGGTCTCTTCTATGTAGTCCTAGCATTGTTATTGTATAACATAAGATCTGGTTATATTTTTTGTTGCATACAGATCTTTTTTAAAGGATTTTTTAAAATGTATAAAAACTGATAATTTTTTTTCAATTTGATTTGGTTTTATTTTTTGCAGAACGCCCTCTTCACTACACAGAAAATGTATTGGAACAGGTACTTCGGTGGAGTTCATTAGCTGAACCTGGCTCTGCTTATCTTGTGGTGAAGAGATTCCTAACCATTGATACAATTAAACACTATAACGGTAGGTGTTGTTATTTCACATTGCAAGTACAACTGAAAATTCAAGTGGCTAAAGGATAGTTATTATCGCATAAGTATTATTTGATAATGTAAAAAATGGGAAGCTAAATACTGAATCCACTTGACACAGTATTGTAGGATTGGAAGAAGAATATCTAGACAGAAGTCCCAAGTGCCAGATGCAGATTTTCCTGGAGAGTAGCACTCTGCTAATAGTTGGCTAGTTTGGTAGTCCCAAGTTAAGCTTTTTGTAATGAATGGTTTATATATTTTTTAATGGTTTATATTTTTAAAAGGACTTTTGCAATACTTAATGTGTTTTTCTAATTATTAGATAGATGATGATTCTTCTTCCTGAATTATGTTTCCATTTGAAAGTTCTCTGGGCATTCAAGAAGTACCGGTTATACGAGCTCTGAGACTGAGTACTTGCTGTAATTCCCATTTATTTTGGGGGTGATATTGGGGAAAAAAAGAAGTACAAAATGACATACTTCCAATAAGGATACTTGCCATCCAGTTGGGAGAAGACATGTACACATGGAAGGTTAAATAGGTTAGCAAGCACAAGGGAAACATGCCAGCCAGTCTCGGAACCCTTGTGAGCTATCGGGGAACTTTTATTTTCAAACTGATTCTTCTGTTCTGTTGTCATTAACTGACAAATTAGGAAAAAGATTTTCTGCCAGTACTCTACATAAACCAACTCTGAAAGCAAAGGATTTAAGTTCTATAAGAAAATTTACTACAGCTTTTACCATTGATATTAATAACTGTTTACTATTAATCACATATCATTAACTGAGCTCTATACCTAACAGCTCATTTAAAGTTTTTTAAACTTCCTAGTGCATTATATTGTCATTTGAAATTTCCAAATGGGGAAGAGAAGTGCAGAGAAATGAAGTAGTTTGCCCCAGATCATACAGTTTCTAAATATTGGATTTGAGAACAGATTGGTCTGTCTTCTAATTTTATATATATGTACAGCTCTTAAATGCTTTAAAACCTGCTTAGAAGGATTTCAGGCTCTCCAGCTAATAGCCATAGTTCATAAGTTCTTAGTTGTACCACAGCTAATCTGATACGTTTCTGACTTCATGATCATGTCCTAGTCTGTTCAGGCAGCTAGAACTGCGACAGACTGGGTGGCTTATAAACAGCAGAGGTTTACTTCCCATGGTCTGGAGGCTGGAAGTCTGAGACGAAGATGCCAGCAGGGTTGAGTTCTGGTGAGAGCCTTCTTCAGGTTGCAGACTTCCTTTCTTCTTGTCTCTTCACAGGGTGGGGAGCAAAAAAGGGGAAAGCAAGCTCTGTTGTGACTCTTAGTAGGACACTAGTCCTATCATGAGCGCTCCACCCGCTGAACTCATCTAACCCTAATTCCCTTCCTAAAGGCCCCACCTCCTAATACCATCACACCAGGAGGTGGGGTTTCAGTGTGTGGGTTTTGGGGGACACAGACATTCAGTCCACCCGTGTCCTTTACATCTCATGTATCTGTCCTCTGTATCGTTTACTTACCTGAAGGCATTTCGACAAAAGGCAAACAGTGTAACAACTCTGTGTCATTCTGATCTTATAGGCATATAAATAAACGGAACAGGTATATTCTTCCTGCTAGAGAAATGTAGCCTTTTAGAAGCCATTATTTTATTTTAAATTCCTTTATTATAACCGCCTATGTTTTTGACCACATACCTATGCCTCTTCAGGATTGCAGCAGAAATTTTCTCTAGTCCTACAGATGTGACATGATGTAGAGCAGTAGTTCTCAGGTGGGTTCAGTTTTGTTCCCCAGGGGACACTTGGCAGTGTCTGTAGATATTTCTGACTTACAACTAGATATAGTGGTGTTTCTGGTGTTTAGTGAGTAGAGACCGGAGATGCTGCTAGTCATCCTACAAAACAGAGGACAGCTCTTCACAAAGAATTATTTGGCTCAAAATGTCAGTGGTGCCCATGTTGAAAATCTCCCATTTAGATAATCTATGAAATCTGTTCTAGCTCTTAAATTCTCTTATTCTTTCATGTTGACACCGAGATGAAGAAAAAGTATCGAGCTTATGAACCAAGTCCTGTCAACATTATGAAATATATATATATAATAGGTTCTCCTGGTTTCTTTTCTTTTAGAAAATCATCTTTTCAGGTACATGTTTATTTTTCTGGTGAGAATTTTCCTTTTTTCCAGTATTCTTCTGAAATGTCTCTATTTTACCATGAAACCCATACCTAGACATAATACCTTAGCTCTTGTTTGAATGCTAGTGGATTGGCTAGATGAATAAAAACAGACAAGAATAGGATCTTAAAAGGCTGTGATACAAAAGAACGTTTTGTGCAGGTGGGGGTGAGGGGTAATCAACACAAGGATACCATTAGGTGCTGATCTTTAAAGAAAAAAAAAAAAACAACATTGAGCTGGTCGAGAGCAGTCACATCAGAGTAGAATCGTTAAAGTTGTTTAAAGACACAAAGAGATGGTAGAGTGGCAAACTGCATTGGCTCTGTCTGCAACTGGGTCAGAAGATTAGGTGTTGTCATGATGCCTCACATATTCCTGTGTGTCCTCTTTATGGGGTTAGGAGTGTGTCCTTCTGGTGTGAAAGCATCAGGCTTCCGTAAGGTGTAGACAAAACATCTGCATAAAAACCTGGATGACACATTCTCTAGGGTAAAATGTCAGCAAACTTTTGTGTTACTCTCACATCTCCTTCGTTCCTCTCATGGGTTGGGGGCCATAAAACACATGCCTATCCCCTGTACTGGCCCTGCCTCAGTTTGCCAAACCAGTATCCAACTTGTTACTATAGTGTCTGTAGTTCTTTCTACCGGAAATGATTTCTGTTTGCATGGGAAAAAAAAAAAAAAAAAGTCAAGTGTTAGAGTAACACCATCAGCAGATAGATTAATTGGACCATTTCGTATTAGTTACGTATTTTTGGTCAAAAATAGTACTGATGCAGTAAATATTCTAAAAACTTTTTTTTATCTTCTAGCCAATAAAATTTTTATAAATGTTTTTAATTAGAGCTTGATTTATATTTAGATTGTCAAAGCAAAATAATCTCTTTCATTATGGTTTGTTCTGTATCTTTGTGAATTTAGGATTGTCATGTTAAAGCAACTCTGGCCTGTTGTTTATTTTTTAAATCAATTTCTTCTGTCATGATTGTATTTCCCTATAATCGTATCTTGCAGCAACCTGGAGTTTATAAATACTTCTTATGGGGTATATTTGGTGATAGATTTAAGGTTGTTTAGATATTCAGTCTACTTTGTCTCTGTCTTGGCGAATGTCTTCTAAATCAGTCACAGTGACCACCGACTCCAGAATTATTGCTCTGTTCATTACATCCACTGCTCCTTAAAATTGGGATCTAAAAGGAAAGTAATGGAAGTAAATCAAATGTGATTTCTCTGTCAGTTTGTTAGCGGGAAAACTGGAGTCATCTCAGAAATACATTGCTCTGCATGGCAGAAAAAGAACAATGTGAAGGATTTCTTTTTCTTTCTTCAGATTTTCTTATTCTAACCTGGGGACCAAATGGAAATTAGCAGATTCTGAAAGAAGGGTAGTTGGTTGCAACCACATTTTTTTCTCAGTAACAAATAGCTAATGTTTTCACATGTTGTTAAGATATAAAATAGTACAACCTATGTCTTTCCATACTTGAGGTCTAGTTGCCACAGATTTTACTATCTGCCTACCTGGCCCTACCTCTATCCCCGTATCTACATATACAAAAAATATATATATGTGTGTGTATATATATGTCTGTGTGCGTTTGAATATATACATGACTTGCATTTCATTAATTGTATGAGAGTTTTTCTGATGTATATAACAAATTACAAGCACATACTTTTGTTTTACATTACGTTTTCAACACCTACTTGCTAAATCAAAATTTTATCAAATAAGTTTAAAGGTTTCAGGTAGTTTAGGGGTTTTCATTTCCTTAATTTTCTCACTTTATCTGAACAATTTAAAATGTTGACATCACAAATAGGAGTGGATTTTAGAATCATCCAACACTTAATTTCTGCTCATTCACTTGAGGTAATGAGGTAGTATACTTTACTTTTATAAAAGTATATGAGAGTAAATAAATTTTCTGTTGCCTCTACTTAGAAATCAATTGTGTATTCTTCAAAAGCAGCATTTTATTTCTTAGAAACATTTTATGCCATTGCCATTATTGTAATGAGGAGTTAACTAACTTGAAAAGAAAGATAATAGTCCTCAAATTTCTTTTCTACCCCATGGATTATGACTGAGACATTACGATAGGGAGAATAAAACTTCATTTAAATTGTCATTTAGACGTCGTCATAGCTAATCTCATTAGACTGTCTTTTGTTATCATTATCTCTTGTATTGAGTTAAGCTTCAGCATCTCTATCACAAGTAAACCATAAATAAATACATTCTCTAAGGCTCCAGAATAATTTTATGTCGCTAAAGTCTTGTTTTAAGCATTAAGGATCCTTAAAATTATCCCAATAGAATGTTATACATTGGAATCAAGTTTTAATGATCTCAATGGGGAAGAAAGACTTTTAAGATACAAGATGTAACTCAAATGCAGATCCCTGTGGGTTTCTAAATTTAGATTGCTGCATATGACAGATGCTTTGGAATTAAATTTGCATTAGAATAGAATAGTTCAAAATGCAACTGCTTCTGGCAAATACAGACCTGGAAAGCTGAACCATCCACTATGAACTGACTTAGGAAAATAAAAGAAAATTCCAGCAAAAATAGTACGAGTCCATAAATCATAGTCTAGCTGAAATAATACACTTTCTATTCCCCATCAAATCTTTTTAAATCCAAATGTGTATAAACATTGAAGGTAAGCCTAATCCACATCAAATGGAAGTATCCTCTTGGAAATTGATGTCTTTGATATTCACTATGAAACATGAATGTTCCGACTTCTTTTAATATTATAATTTTGTAGTGAGAAAACCAACTGGTAAGTTCCTATTAGG